GACTGGGAAGCTGCTGGCAGATTCTCTACAGGGTGTTCGCACAAGAGTGTTGAGTCATGGTCTGAAATGGCAGTTGTGTTGTACGTGTTGAAGGGCAGAGAGAGGACTGGCCTTTCCTCCTGGCTTCAGGAGAGGAGCACTTGACAAGACTTCCAGGGAAGAGTTGTCCATAACTCTTCGTTGTACAGGGTTTCTTTTTTATCATTTATTTATGTGTATTTTATGTGTGATTGTTTTGCCTGCTTGTGTGGAAGAGCATCCATGTTGCGCAATGTACATGGAGACCAGAAGAGGATGTTGAACAACTGTTAGCCACCGTATGGTGTTGGGTTCTCTGTAAGGCAGCTAGTGCTCTTAACTGATGAGCCATCTCTCCAGCTCCCACTGTGCAGGGTTTCAAAGAAGAGACTGAGAAACCATTTGAAGTTTAATGTAATAAGCCACTAATTCCAGAGCACACAGTAAAGGATGTGCAGAGTCGGGTAGATGAGGCAGATGGAGCAAGGGCGACTCAAGGCCAACTGTGCTGGTGCAATACCATCATTTCCATTTCCCTGGCTGAGAGTAAATACAGGCAAGGCTCTAGGAAGATTGGTTGCTGTGACTGTGAAGTAGAAGTTAGTGGGAGGCCTGATGAGGCTGTGGGGCAGAGGAAGTCACTGTCAAGAATTCCTTAACTTATCAAAGGGTAGACCTGGGGAAGGGTGACATGACCTCATTTGGAGTCTTTGCTCAGTGTGTGTCCACCTATTTACCTCTGGAAGGAAAACAGAAGCCTTGGGAGAAGTGGACTTGGACCCTGGGCTCCTGACTGTGCCTTGAACTCCTATCAGAAGAGGTCAAGGGGATGGACGTGCTATCTTGTGGTGATAGAGGTTATTTATTGACTGGGATGATGGAGCCGCAAGATCTCTAGAGACCATTTTAAATGGTCTTCATAGTGAGGGTTGGCATTCTTAATAAACTCAAGAAGGAAGGGGACATGAGAGGATGGAGCTTTTGTGAGCTGGACCATCCCCTCACTGACAGTGTGAATTATGCTCAACACCTGGACTTGCTTTGACCTGAGTATTGGCAGCTAGAGTGTGGCTGGAGTGTGGGAGTCTAGGAGGAGTGTGGGAGTCTGGGAGGAGTGTGGGAGTCTGGGAGGAGTGTGGAAATCAATCCAGGAGGAGTTACTCGAGCACCGGGGGCGGGGGGAGAAACCCCGCTCCTGAGCTCTTGACAAGGGGTGTCCTACCCTGATCCCTTTTGATGGAGTTGTGGACTGTTCACACTCAGGTGTTTGTTTCCTGGTCGTATTGTAAGTTGTACCATAAATGAAGAATTTTCTTAGTGTTTGTTCCCCCTTTGCTGTATCATGGGTTTTAGTTTATCCTTGGGAAATAGGACACGTCTTTGGTTAATAGGCATTCGAGGTACACGACGTGAAATGCTGCAAAGGCGATCCAGATGAAACTGACAGGTAGGCGAGTGGGGCACAGCTGCTGCAGCTCCTCAGCCTGATGACAGTCGTGCAATAAATAATCAGAAACTGGGTAAAATGATAGCAAGTGTCAGTTTAAAGTTTTCACTTGTCAAAACTAGATTGTCTTATCACCAGACCATTGCTAAGCCAAATTATGCAGCCTTTTATCTAGCTCTTCATTGGAGAACATTCTTCATGACCCTCCGCCCCTTTACAGTGAGTCTTGTGGGAGCACTTCTGAGACAAGTTTCCAGCCAGTGTGGTTGTTTATTACCCCTGACTTTATTTAATAAAGGAGGCTTAGTTTGGTCAGAAAGCAACTGTTGTACTCTCATGTTTGTTAGTCTTCTGCCTGCCTGTCATCTGCTGTGCTGAGGTAAACGAGTGGGAGCTGTCTCAGGAAAGGAAGCTTTTTCAGTTCTGTAAAGGGATGCTCTCATTCTGTCTATGAATAAGTCTTGTCAGTTTTATTTGCCTAAGGAACCTTTATGATGTAAGTGCTGACCTTTGGAAAGAAAACTAAGGTTCCTTTAATTTAACATTGAGTTTCTTAAAAGCATTAGCCAATTTATTAGCAACAAAATGAGAGGGTATTTTGACTCATTTGGGGCAAAAATCTGTAGCTGAGCCAATGCTGTGGGGTCAGGGGTCCAGCCAGCCCCTGACTAGACTGTCCCACAGGCCCCACACATGGGAGGGACTTTACAGGAGACCCCGGAGATAAGAGGCCAGAGTTCAGACACAGGTGTCTTGACTGATGCTCGACTGTTGAATCAAAAGCTTTGGTGGAGTCTGAATTTCTGTCGTTAACAGAGGAGAAAACATTTTGCTTTCAAAGCATCTTCTGTTTACAGGTGCAGTATCTTACGTAGAAAAGCCGTATTATTGTTTTGGTGTTTCTTAATGTTAGGTTTATTATCTTTCTGAATGTGAAAATTTATATGCTCCTTTTTTCAGCCAGTCCCTCTTCTTACTGCAAATGTTTATTGTGCCTTGAGGAGAAATTAGAACTACCAAAGGGTGGGGAGGAGGGATTTGAGGCCAGTTGCTGTGACTGCATTGCAGAGTCCCTGTGGACCCTGACTTCTGTGCTGAGTGTCACCTGTGATGAGGGGCCTTGTGATGAGCTGGTGGGAAGGCAGGTGCCTGGGGTGGGGGGAGTACAACTGTGTGGTATGTAGAATTGCCTCCATGTGTGGCCCGGGGGTTTCTGTGTTGGTGCTGCCACTTGCAAGTGCCATGCCCTGAGCAGGTGGCACAGCTTCTCCGAGCCTCACTGCCTCATAAAACAAAAAGGACAGTTTTAGATCAGGTACACCCATCCCTCCAAGAGAAGTCATCAGGAAGGCAGCCTCTAGGGAACACTGTGTCCACTCTCTCCTCGGGCTCTCCTTCCTTCCTTCTCAGTTCTGTGGGATGCCAGTCCTCAGTTTGAAGACCATCTAAAAGGAGTGTTGTAGGAGTGTTTTGCTTGCATGTATGTAAGTGTACCTACGTGTGCAATGCCCTCAGAGACCAGAAGCTTTTGGAGCCCCTGGAACTGGAGTAACAGATGGTCATTACTCTTCATATTCCTGATCCTCTGGAAGAGCAGCCAGTGCCCTTAACCACTGAGCATCTCTCCAAAGACCATTTTTAAAGCTCTGTGGCTACATGTGCCTCTGTAGAAAAGTTGCCATTGCTGTTGAGTATAATAATCAGCTGCTGTAGAGGCTGTTGTAGGCCTGGACAGTGTGGAGAGCTAGGGGAACTCCACACAGCACATTCTAGAACCTGTGCTGTAGAGGACTCACATTATAACCAGTGTGTACAGCTGTGTTTGGCTAACTTGTAAGGCTGTAGTGAAACCAGGTAGACAAGGTGTGTGCACCCTGTGTTCTGCTCATGGAGAGAGCATAATCTGATGAGGAGCCAGGTAGTCTGTCAAAACGTGGTAAATCTTTCTGAAAGACATTTGGATTTTTCATCCCGTTTCCTGCTCTTGTGATTTGCGTACTCCATCCCCTCTGCCTGGAAGCATTTCTCTCTGACCCATCTCGCCTTCCTCCCTCAGTCCTCCTAGCCTTTCAGAACCCTGCTCAGCATTGCACTCTCCATCTGGGACACGGTGGGGGCAGGTGGGGGCCTTTCTCCACACACTGGTCTCTCCATGCCTGCTGGAGCAGTGTCCAGTATAGTCCAGGAAGATGAGCATGGTGACAGCAGGCTAGATTGGGTACTTGCCTCCATGAATGGGAGCATTTTCTGTGAAAGTAACATAAAGTACGATGCAGCTTGGCACAGAGGCATTAGCAAATATGAAGACTCATCCAGAGAACACAGCGCTGCTGCTACGAGGAGCTGCCATGCTACCCGGGAGTCATTGGATTGTTTGGTATTTACAGGAGGAAGGACACATGGGGGTGAGGGACCAGGTGTGGGTACAACCTGAGGTTGGGGGTCCCTGTCTTCAGTTGGATTGAGCTATGCTGTTACCAGTGAGATTTTAGGCTGGCTCTGTGGCCATCCTGATGAGCACTGTCCTCACCTGTGCCACAGTGTGACCTCTTTCCCACCACCATCTGGGAGATCGTGGACCTCAGCAGCCCAGATTGTACTTCCTCATCGTGCTGCTTGAGTCCTGCTGTGACTGCAAGTTTTGTATTTGATTGCTGGAAGTTGAAATACTGGGGAGGCTTGCTTCTTAGAAAATAAAGTAGGGAAGAGGGAAACTTAAAAGGGTTAATGGAAACTTCCTCAGGTACTCAAAAATGCTTGTGGCTCAGCGGTCCAGGTTTCTCACTAATCTATGCCTGTTAAAAACAGAAACAGACGACATGGTTCAAGTATGGTACGGACAGGATGCTGCTTTCTCTGTGTCTGCACAAGGCAGTGATAGCGGCCCCTCACTCTTGCTGTCTCAAGGATCTAGTAGATTAGAGCATAGATCTGCCTGTACTTGGAACAGACTCTCGGCCATAGGCTTGCAACTACCCAGAGATGATTCCCTGCTCTTCACCTGCACGTCGTCCTTAACTGTGGTTTTCCCGCCGTTCTGATGGTGATGATAAATACAGCCTTGAAGCTCCTGTTGTAAATTATAAAGTGCCCACAATGCCCACGGACCAAGTTCTGTGGATGGTATATATGCATCAAAGAGATTCACTTCTGTTCCTTCTGATGGAAGGAAGCAGTACCTGCCTCCCCTACCCCCACAGCACCTGCGATGAGCCCAACCTTAGCTGTGGCACACAGTGCTGAGCTGCCCTCTGCAGTCCCTAGCCTTCCCCTTCTGCCTTCCACACACTTACTCTGGAGTGACTGGCAGTGACTGGCCAGGTGTGGGTTAAACGACAGACTCCAGAATTAAGAGTGGAGCCTTTGATCATAAAGTCCAAGGCCTGTCTCAGCACTGTGTCATCGCAGTAGAAATGTATTCCATTTTAGTCCTCTTTATTTTTAGTTTATCTAGTTTTAGAATACTTCACTGGATGTGATTTAACCCCGCAGCTGAAATGTTTTGTACTAATGGTGTTTTCTTTTGTTCACACAGTGGAGCTGATTACTATGATTACGGGCATGGACTCAGTGAGGAGACTTACGACTCCTATGGTGAGTGTTCCCCGGTAACCACATGGAGAGAGAGCAAGTGGCTGTGGACAGGCCTTAGAGACTCTGATTGGCGAGAAAACCATGTTTTTTTGAAGATAAATTCATGTTTGTCTGTGTAACAGCTCCCTTTCCTCAGTTCCTCTGTACATATCTTGCCATTTTCAGAGGCTTTGCTAACAGGTAAATGTAATAAGAGCTGGAGACTACAGAGCACTGCCTGAACCCAAATCCTAAACCGAGAAGCTTGGTTTGGGTTGACAGTTGTGTGCTGACCTCCTCTCTATTTTAATATAATAGGTTTCCAGACTGCTGACATTTTCTAGCCTGGGTCATTTGGAAGCCTCTACAGCTTGACAGTAGAGGAAAAGAAGCAGCTGAGACCACAGCTCTTGGGATTCTCGCACCTCATCTTTGTATTTTAATCCACGCCCAATCTCAAGTCCTTAGACAGAACTATACTGGGAGGCATTTCATAAGTTTATAAAGGCTGAGCTAGGGAGGAGATAAGAGTCTCTCAGGCTTATAAAGGGACAACTAACTCTTAGTTCTGTGGGAGCAGGTAGAGATGCTGGGGAATCCATGACCAGACTCTTAATGTGTAGAATGATGACAGGTTTAATTAGAAGGGAAACCATAGTCAAGTGCCTTTGCCTCAGGGCAAAGAGATCAGAGAACAAGAAGCTTCAGTTGCGGCAAAGCTCTGAGCATGCCTCGCACCCCAGGCACGTGAATGCAGCACCTGGGTAATGGATGCGATGACATTTCTCTGAACATAACTGAAAAACCGTTTTCTGGTGTTCCTTTGAAGTGCATTTTGTTATATCACCCGCCCAGAGCTGTGATGACCATACTTCCTTTTTTTTTCTATCTTTTTTTTTATTGTTATTCTTAACAAACCCTTAAGAGAGATACATTAGGTTTCTGAATGCTGTCTGTGCTGTCTACTTAAACTGATGCAAGTTACCTAGAGGGTGTGACGTTGATTGCATGTTTGTATCAAAAGAAGAGGTCATTTTGAGCATTTTTCTTTCACAGCTTTGTAAATTGGTCTCTGTGGGCATGTGGCTTTAGATTGCTGCATGTTGCAGCAGGGACTTAACTGTTTGCTGTCCAAACCCATGAATAACTCAGCGGAAGTCTTGGCACTGGACGGTGTTGGATTTCAGGAACTACAGATGGTAGGGGACCTTTGGTTATTGGCAACACTGTCAGGGATGGACTTGATGCATCATCAGGATCACTCCCTGTTCATGAAGTGGCGTCGTCATGTGGAGTACAACCAGTGTGCCTTCCTGCAGTCTGTCTGTGAAGGCCCTGTGGAGAGTCACCTGGTTTTTCTCATTCTCAGTCTGCCCTTCCCAGTTTGCTGGATGCTTTTTCCTCCTTTTCTGTCCACAGACCATCTGTGTTCTTTTCCCTTGTTTTCACTGTTGGAAGAAATTTAAGTGATCCCTTCCTCTCTTTCTCTTGATATTTCATAAAAGGCAGTTGGATTTGCTGCATGATCTTGCAGGCTTTAGTTGAGTAGGAGTAAAAGAAAATCCCTGCCAAGTTGGCTGCCTTTTCAGACACAGGGTGAGGATCTGCCTGCACTGATTGTGTCATTCTGGGTTGTGCTGGAAAAATGTTTGAGTCTGTTCCTCTGTGATTCTTTTATCAGTGTATCAGAGATAAGTGTCTCCATTGTGACCTTTGCCACTGGTTCCAAGGGATGGAGCTACTGGGATCTCTGACCACGGCCTAATCACAGTTTGTCTTCCTGATTTTAGGGCAAGAGGAATGGGCTAACTCAAGACACAAGGCACCTTCGGCGAGAGCGGCGAAGGGCGTGTACAGAGACCAGCCATATGGCAGATACTGATTGTACTGTCTGATGTTGTGAAATAGCCAATCTCCACCGTCCTGTATACTGTTCAAAGTAATTTTTTTCTATGAACAATCCCTTTTTAAATAAATCAAAATGCTTAAAATCTGAATGGATGGAATTTAAAACTACTTTGTTGAAACACCACCTTGGTCAGGGAAGAAAAGGACATGTAAAATTTTGTTATCGCCAGTCTGTATATGAAAAAATAGGTCATCAAAAGGAAAACAAATAACTTTGATTAACTAGTGTTAAACAAAAAGATAGGTTTACTAAATATGTTAATCCATTCTTTTAACATAAGCCTCACCTTTTATTTTAAAGGTTTCCATAGAATTTAGTTATTTCATCTTTCAGCCATATGCTAGTTTTTTTCTCTTGACAAATGCGTAAAAAGGGAAGCCAATTACAAATGCAAATCATGTGGTATTCTTTTGTAACTCAAGTCTTGAAATGTTCTGTAGTGTTAAGCAAAGTCTCCTCTTGCTTGATACTAAATAAACTTTTGAAAGAAATTTTGTGTGTGTGAGCTAACAGTTTTATGTTTTTCTTATTTAAAAAGGCTTTCATAAATAGTTGTAAACAGGGAAAGAATTCCTTTAACAATGTCTGTAAAAGGGTCACACTAAATATTGTACAACTTATTTTAAAAGTGGTATAAAATTAAATGTACCATGATATGCTCACCATAGGTTCAAACGCGGTCTAAAGAGTCCACATGGTATCGAGCTGCTCCAGTGGCGCATTAAAACTACGCAAAATCAAATCTTGTTTAAAAACTGGTTTTAAAATAACTACTGGATTTTCTGGAAAAGATGTGATCAGTTTTCATCTTGTTGAGCGTTTTTTCACTAGTGCAACTTTGGATTTTTTATGAGACTTTTGGTACCTTAATGACCACCTCGCTCCATGCTGGAAGCTCTAAGCACAAAGTTTTAAAGACATTCTGACTTGACTAATTGAGGTCGCAGTCGTCAAGGCTGAGGATGTGTAACCCTTAAACGGTCTTCATTTCCAAAGGTAAATAAATCAAATAAGATTTTAATCTCACTTAATTTATCTTAACATAACTAATAAAACCAGGAAGATTACAACTTAGCAAGTTTCATTATCCATTTTAGAAAGGTTTTTAAGATCACCTAAATTCTCATTTTAAAAAGTTTAATTTGTTTTAGTAATCTAAAAAGCCTTAGTTCAGTCAGTTTAATTGGGGCCAATTATTCCCTATTAAACAAATGTAAAACCTCATAACTAGTTATCTGTAATACGTATTTTGGTTAGTAATTGAGGGCATTCTTAAAACTGATGAGGATTCAATAAAGTTATTTGTTAATCATTTGATTTAAGTTTTAATTGTAGATTATATAAAATGTTTATCTTTAGTTTTAAGGCTTTCCCTCTGTTTTGAGTAAAAAGATTTCTTCTTTTGTTAGGAAATGTCAGCCACCGTGGAGTGTCAGAGGAGCTGGTTGTGACTTGGAGCAAACAAAGGTAAGCTTGCATCCAGAGCCACAAGTTGCTGTGGTCTGTGGGCCAGTGGTGCTCTCCCCAGCCGTTTCCCCTAGCAAGCACCAGTGATGGTGGTAAAGGACCTCTCTGGGCACAAAGGGGGCTGGAAGCTTTACTGTAGCAACTGAGGCTCAGGCCCTCAGAACCTAGGTGTTCACAACACATTCTTCAGTCAGAATCGAGCAGGGTAGTCCATAACCCACAGAATTTTTCTAAATTACTAAGTCCCGACTTAGTGTATAATGCCCAGCTTCGTGTATAATGTGAACCTGGTTTTGTTTTTACGTGTGTGTGTGTGTGTGTGTGTGTGTGTGTGTGTGTGTGTACGCACATATGTGTGTAAAAACTTACATAGTTGTACAGGAAGTTTTTCAGAGTAATTATCCTGGTCTTATGGTAAAACAATATTTTGTGCTTATTTTTTTAAATTATTGCTTTTATACGATAAGCATTAAAGCAGGTGTTCCATAGAATTACCTCACAATTAAAAAAAAATGGAGATCTGTAAAATAAGGGAGCTATTGTTAATTTGGTCTTTGTATTTGTTGTTGTTGTTTGTTTGTTTGTTTTTGTATTTTGAGATAAGCCGTCACCCCGTAGCCAGGCCCTATAAGCCATGGCTGGTATGGGACTCACTGCAGATGTGCAGTGCCAGGCCTAACTGAACCTTGTCACGCATTTCCATCTGGGCTCGGCCCCTTAGCTGGGTGCCTCTGGGCAGGTCTCCCTTTCTGTGTCAGCACCATGGGAATGATGTGCCCCCTGTAGTAGCTACAGTTGTAAATCTTGCTGTAAGTTGATGCTGTCAGAGTCTTGTAACCCCAAAATGCTATGTTCATGTTTAGTGGCCAGAATGGAACTCAGGCTTCCAACATAAAGGAGAAAGACATGAGCTGCTTTCTTAATGGTCAGAATTAACAGAAGAAACACTTAAATTGCTCATAGGAAAAAAAAAAAACAAAGTCTTCAGTTATTTTTTAAGTTTTTTATTGAATTTTTGTGTATTTCATACAGAAAATCATCTTTATACCCCCTTCCCCTTTGGCACCCTCACATAGCCCCCCCCACTGGAGGTCATAATGTCTGTCATTTGTGTTAAGTCCTACCATGTAAAGTTAGTGTCCCCAGGTGTTTCTTAGTGCAAGTTCATTCACTTGGATCTAGTCAGGCTGTCTAGATATCCTCTCCCTGCCTTTAAAATCAGCTCTTCCTCATCCCAGCAGTAATCAGCTGCCAATAATTCTTCAACTAAGATTGGAGCCTGCTGTCCATTTCCACAGTTCTGTGCTGAGTTTTTGTCTTCCTAAGTTTGCATGTGTCTTGTGCATGCTGACACCATTGCTGTAGGTTTGTATGAGAAGAGTCCCAGGAGCCTGGAGGACTATGTCCGTATGTTCGTACACCTCCTCCCTGGCTCTTACAATCTTTCCACCGCCTCTTCTGCGATGATCCCTGGATAGGTGAAGTTTAATATAAAATCTGTCCTGTCCAAGGACCCACGCTCCGCAGACTCTTATTCTCTGCATTTTGGCCATTTGTGACCTTTTGCATTCTTGGAAGTCTTCTTCTTATTTAAGCTTATTTTTATTGAATTTTTGTGCATTTCATACAGAACATCTCAATCAATCTTAATCATCTTTATACTCCCTTTCCCACTGGTACCCCCCCATACCCACCCCCCCAACTGGGGCCCATATACCCTGTCATCCCTGTTAAGGCCCATTGTGTCAAGTCAGTGTGGGGAAGTCTTCATTCTTACAGATCAAAATCATCTTCATTGCAGTCTGGCTTTGCAAGGACTTGTCTCTGTGCAGGACGGAATGCAGCGTAAACCGCATCTCTTTTGCATGAGATGGTATTAGGATTTTTTTCTACATTCTTTAGTAGTATTTTATCCTTGTTTAGGTATTAGCATATCAAATAATAAATGAAGTCTTCATCTTTTTTTGTTGTTTATGCAGTGGATAGTTTATTATCATAGAATTCTGTGGGCCAGAACTCTACAGCAGGCTTCCAAGCAAGGTGTTAGCAGAGCTACAATCTTCTGGAGGTTCTGGGGATTCTGTCACCTCCAGAGCAGCCTCTGGAGAATGAGAGCACTTGCACTTTCTGGCTCAGACCCCATCCTCTATCCACAGAATTGAACTGAGTCAGTCCTCACACTGCCATAATGTAGTAGGCTTCCTTGATCAGGAATTACGGATAGACAGGCGATGGTCTTCTGTTCTAACACACAGGAATTGTTGTACAATTTTATGATTATTTTCATTTTTGTAAAGAATCCATAACTTCATCAGACTATGGAAAGGATTTATGACCCAGAGATTAGGAACATTCTGGAACAGGGGCATTCCTTCTTGGCTCTTGTGTTTATCAGGCTTTGCTTCACTGTTAGCAAACACCTGACATAAGTTAAGAGAAGAAAGACAGTTTAGCTCATGGTTCCAGAAGTTTCCAACCTTCCTAGCAGGGAGGGTAGAACAGAGAAGATCACAGGCAAGATTCATAGCAGACCAGTAACAGGAAGAGACCAGCTATAGCCCCCAGGGACACATGCCCCAGAGACCCACCTTCTACAGTTCTGTTACCTCCCAGTAATCTGTGGTTGGAGCCCCCCAATCTAATCCTGCAGGAGACATACCCAGAAGTGTGGTTTGCTGTCCCCCGGGCAGCCTTGGTCCAGTAGTTCTCCAGCTGCTCTTGTCCTGGCCCCGGTCTCCCCCTTGGAGTCCATCTATTTTCTCATGTGTTAACATTCACAGAGCATGAGTTCTGTACTAGATATCTTAAGTGCTGGGAATGTAGTGACTTAGGAGACATGGGAACCTATACTCAAGTAATCTGAGATCTGATGGGGGTCATGGATCAATACTCCCAGGGAATACAGTGACTTAGAGGACATGGTACCCTACAGTTGAGTAATTAGAGATCTGATGTTGTTGATGGATTAATGTACCCTGCTCCTTTGCACATAGGAGCAACCTTCAGGACCCAGTCCTCTGTCCTCTCTGTTGTTAACTGAGCCATCATCCTCTGCCCTCTCTGAAGAGCATGCTTTGTGTCCGTTGCTTTATTTCAGTATTGATGTTGCCACGTACCAATTGCAGTTGGTCAGTGACCAAGCATCTGATTAGCACTTCTATAGATCCCATCATTGAATTCCATTACTGGTACTGTCCACATCTTACAGAGGAAGCAGTTGAAGCTTCCGGAGGTGACCTCTCTTAGGTTAGCTCACATCCCTAGTAGCTGAAGGAGGCAAGATTTGAATCCAGCTACTTTGATCCAGAGTCTTACAGCTTTACCTTGTTGTTACTGTCTCGGTTCTCACTGGCTCCATGGTAGGGAGAACTTCTTACAGTGAGGAGCTTTCTGCTGCCTTCCCTCTCACTGAGCATCAGCCAAGCACTGTGACTAATCACTGATCCTTTTCTTCCCCTTTCCAACCCCTGCCCCAGTTCCTGCATGAGGAGATTATGTGATTTTTCTTTAGGTCCGGAATAATCTTGTACTCCAAGACGAATCAGTTCCGGTATTCACTGAGTTATCCATGTTTTCTGAGCATCTGCTTGGCTAGAGGCAGTAGGCATACAGTGACGAAGACAGCTCCTGTCCCTGCAGGTACTGAACTGTGCTGCAAACACAAAGAAGGTGTCAGCTGGACTCCCGCAGGTCCATGTAAGATGCTTTATAGGTGTCAAAAGAGGCTTGCAGAACACACACAGGGTGGTTAGAGGAGGAAAGTTGCCAGCAGAGGTTAACTGGCCAGTAGAAAGAAGATGCTTATATAGGAAGATATTGTGGGAGCATTCATTATCCAGTGTGGTAACCTGGGTGAGGTTCAGCCTCTCAACTGCAGTCTCCCCACCTG